GCGGTAAAACATAAAATTCACTTTGACTTGCAGTTTTGCTCTTCTCAGGCCTGCGTGACTCAGAATCTAGGTATGGGTCCAATGTGATGACATCAAGCTAAATGTGATTGTAACAGAAGCATATGAACATGGAGGATTTTACTTCCAACCAGCAGATTTTCAGACTCGTAGAAATTAGTTTCCGGTTCTCCAGAAATGTCTATCCACATGTTTCCATAGGGCTGTTTTGACAGATTAGTTCTTTGTCAGTTAATTAGGTCCTTGGCATCTATGGATTCATCATATAGGCGATCCAGGTCTTAAAAATATTCTAAGGGGTGCCTAGGTGGCTCAGTTGGTTGAGCAACCAAATCTTGATTTCAGCTCAGGTCATGACCCCAGGGTCATGGGATCAAGCCCTGTATCGGATTCTGCAATGAGCGTGTAGCCTGCTTATGATTCTCTCTCCCTTTGCCCCTCTCCCCCACTCGCATTCTTTCTCTCTAAAATAAATAAATAAATAAATAAATAAATAAATAAATAAATAAATAAAAAATATTCTGAAACACATTAAATGCGATCGTAATTTTAACCTCTCTCAGGAAAAATAGTTTAAAATCTGTTTCTTTAATGTTTTTATTTATTTTTGAGACAGAGAGAGACAAAGCATGAGCAGGGGAGGGGCAGAGAGAGAGGGAGACACAGAATTTGAAGCAGGCTCCAGGCTCTGAGCTGTCAGCACGGAGCCTGATGCGGGGCTTGAACTCACAGACTGTGAGATCATGAGCTGAGCCGAAGTCGGACACTCAACCAACTGAGCCACCCAGACACCCCTCAGGAAAAATCATTTTAAAGCACTGAGGTAACTTAACTTGTGAAACTGAATTTGGAGTCCACATAAGTTACCATGTAGTAAAGAAATTCAGAAGTCCTGTTTAACTCGGTGTCTTTTTCTGGTAGCATTTTTTCCTTTTGAATTGTGGCGCAGTCTTATTTCCAAAACATGAGTTATTTTTCACAGTATTAGTTTTTGTCACAACTAACAAACATCAAACTCTGGTGGCAATCAGTTTATTCACTTTTAGGCCTCGTAGGGCCTCTTCAGAGATCATCAAACAATTTTAGAGAGCAGCATATACATTTCTGTTTTATCGGAATCCTTGTTTTCTTCAACATATTTCCAATTTAGAGAAGGATATTCTTCTCATCCCACACTTTGAAGATTTGATTTTATGGTAGGCCAACATTTTAACATCTTTTATATGGAAGGCAACAATGATAGCTGTCTTATAGGCACATGCATAATGAGGCTATCTCCTGTTCTGTAAAATAAAAAATCTCATTAATTGCCTTTGTACATTTTGAGAACTGAAAAAAGGCTAAAATTTTTCATGATGAAAGCCTCAATTTCACAGGTAAACAAGCCACCCCTTGTTAGCAGTGTTAGATACCAAATGTACAGGCTACTTAGAAACTATGATATATTCATTTTCTTTGGTAAGATATTTATGGACTGAATGGAACTCGGCAAAACTGAACTTTGCACTGTCTGGTGAATGTGTAGCTAGACGAACAAATCTAGTTTGTATTTGGATAAGATACCAATAATCTTTTGTCTTATTTTTGTGTGTGTGTGCTTCCATTAAAATCTTGGTAGAGGGGCACCTGGGTGGCTCAGTCGGTTAAGTGTCCGACTTCAGCTCAGGTCACGATCTCACGGTCCGCGAGTTCGAGCCCCGCGTCGGGCTCTGGGCTGATGGCTCAGAGCCTGGAGCCTGCTTCCGATTCTGTGTCTCCCTCTCTCTCTGCCCCTCCCCCGTTCATGCTGTGTCTCTCTCTGTCTCAAAAATAAATAAGCGTTGGGGCGCCTGGGTGGCGCAGTCGGTTAAGCGTCCGACTTCAACCAGGTCACGATCTCGCGGTCCGTGGGTTCGAGCCCCGCGTCAGGCTCTGGGCTGATGGCTCGGAGCCTGGAGCCTGCTTCCGATTCTGTGTCTCCCTCTCTTTCTGCCCCTCCCCCGTTTGTGCTCTGTCTCTCTCTGTCCCAAAAATAAATAAACGTTGAAAAAAAAAATTTTTTTTTTAATTAAAAAAAAATAAATAAATAAATAAGCGTTAAAAAAAAAAATCTTGGTAGAAATCAAGAAGATGAGTTGAAAACTCCAGTTTTGAAATCAAAGTACACGAAAGCTGAAGGGGACATTTTTTTTTACATTTCAATGATTCGAAGCATCATCTACTGTTCCCTAGAAGCAGGATCTTGATGATAACTGAAGAATTGACTCCACGCTGTAAGGCGCCAGCAAGTCTGTCGTGAAACTTTGCCCTTTTGTTTGCCCATCGGACTTTCTAGCTGCAACTTTTGAATCAAGAAACGTAACTTCACTCAATTTCATGGAGCAGTCAAGGGAACTATAATGATAATGTATTTGTTTTTTCCCATAGGGCACCCAAGGCAATTCAGCAGCTATACTTTTCTTTTTTTTTTTTTTTAATTTTTTTTTAACCTTTATTTATTTTTGAGACAGAGAGAGACAGCATGAACGGGGGAGGGTCAAAGAGAGGGAGACACAGAATCCGAAACAGGCTCCAGGCTCCGAGCTGTCAGCACAGAGCCCGATGCGGGGCTCGAACTCACCGACTGCGAGATCGTGACCTGAGCCGAAGTCGGCCGCTCAACCAACTGAGCCACCCAGGCACCCCGCAGCTATACTTTTCAAGTTAGCATTTGTGTCTTTTGTGGGAGGGACAATAAAGTTTTTATTGATTTAGAAGTACTTGCCTACCTCATCCCAGATTTGTGAGATCATTTCTCTATGTGCTTTCACTTCCCATCTCCACCATGCCCAAACCCAAAGACTGTGCAGTATGTTGTTCTGGTTTTGTATCTCCCTAACCCAGTTGTATGTACGTCTTTCCATTTATTATTTAAGTAACACATTTTGCTTTATTTTTTAGTGAAGTTTGGGACATGCTGGCTTTGGCATTACAATCATACTCATTATCTGAACTCTTAGAAGACATGGTCACAATATTCACAATGTGAAACAACAAACTAGTGCTACCTTCATAAAAAGCAAAACAGTCCGGAGGCAATTGAGCGCAAACCGCTAACAGTCATGGTTACAATGCACTTGAGATGCACACTTCAGCTGCATCACTGGGAGTGACCAAAATGGGTGATCCATTACTGTGGAGTGCAAATCATGGTTGCCCACATCAGTGGACAACGGGAAATCAACAGTGGCTACAAAAGATGGGTAGTCTATGCTGTATCTCTTTGACACTAAAAAGCAATGTTGCTTTCAGCCTCTATTCTTTGGGCCACTCTATGAAGTTTGTACTTTTCCTTCAACCTTCTGTACTCATCACTGAAAATCAGGCCTTTTTTCTCAGGGAGAGGGTCTACTGAGACCAGGACTTACAATACTAAAATTGAACACCTGACAGCAAACCGAGAGGGTTGGTCACTCTAGCCAATTAAATAAGATAATACACATAAAGCACTTAGCACGATGCCAAGGACAGAAGTGTTCATTAGGGCCTCAAGGAAGTTGAATCTGGAGTTAGGGCACAGAGATGCTCCGAGGTTTCCCAATGATGGGAACGAACTGGTCCAGCTATATGGAGGCAAGGAAGGAGACTGGGAAAGAGGTGCCCAATAAGGACTCTGAGATGGGTCTAGGTTGGTAGCTTTATTTTATTTGTTGTTTATGATTCTCCATCAAGCTGCATATAAAGCTTTAGCTAGGTTTTTTTATGAGGTCCATCGGCAAGGGAGACAGCAGTGGGGCGGCTAGACGCCAGAGAAAGACCACGCTGGAGCTGTTCCTTAACAAATGAAACTTAGAAAAACCTGGGGTACACTATGAGTGTATTAAGTCCTTGCACGGTAGAACTGCCAAAAAAAATTCGGGACACCCTGTGAAATATGAATTTCAGACAAACAGCAAACAGCACTTTTTAAATATAAGTACTTCTCAAATATTATATGGGAAATAAACTAAGCAATTATTCATTTTATTTGAAATTAAAATTTAACTGGGGATATTGTATCTTTACTTGCTAAATCGGATAACTCTATTGCATTGGGCAAGTGGGACCTTATGAAATGTAACTGATTTTTTTTATCACAATATGGGAAAGCCCAGAGATAGAGTGATCAATTGACAGACAACTGAAAAGTTAGAAACTAAAGGTTAAAAATGGTTATAATTGAATAGCAGTATTATAGTGATTTTAATGTACTTTTCCTAAATTCTACTTTTTCTAAATATTGTTATATTAATGTATAATTCAAATAGTATAGTGTTTGTGTTAGGGAGATCTAGAGAAGCACCCAAAGGATGCATTACTCAGAACTAGCTAGCTGTTGTAATACACAATCCCCAACTTCAGTAGCAAAACCCAATGAAAACTCCTTCCTCACATAAAAGTCAAAATGGGTGTTTTATTTATTTATTTATTTATTTATGTATTTATTTAATGGACTCATGGATATTAATTTTATACTTTGAGCTACAATCTTATAGTACATTATTTACTAAGCTGCTCAAATATTTCAGCTTTGGCCATTGGTAGTTCTTCCCGTTGACTCCTGGTGCCCCTTTGACATACCCATCAATGTGAATTTACATTTTTTTATTACTTAAATGCTTATTTTTATTATTTTTTATTTTTAAATATAATTAATTGTCAAATTGGCTAACATACAGTGTGTAAAGTATGCTCTTGGTTTTGGGGTAGATTCCCATGGTTCATCGCTTACATACAACACCCTGTGCTCAACCCAACAAGTCCCCTCACCCTCAATGCCCATCACCCATTTTCCCCTCTCCTGCCCCCCCCATCCACCCTCACTTTGTTTTCTGTATTTAAGAGTCTCTTATGGTTTGCCTCCCTCCCTCTCTTTTTGTAACTATTTTTTTCCCCTCCCCTTCCCCCATGGTCTTCTGTTAAGTTTCTCAAGATACACATATGAGTGAAAACATAAGATATCTGTCCTTCTCTGACTGACTTACTTCACTCAGCATAGTACCTTCCAGTTCAGGCAGCTCTCTTCCAAATGGGATTCAGGGACCCAGGTTACTTCCATATTGTATGGCCTTCATCTTTAATCCAAAGTTGTCATGGGGTTGTTTCTACCTCCATTCCTGCCAGATCAAATGGGAAAATGAGCATGAAGGATTTTAAGTGAAAGAATTTTGAGCCCCGCATTGGGCTCTGTGCTGACAGCTCAGAGCCTGGAGTCGGCTTCAGATTCTGTGTCTCCCTCTCTCTCTGCCCCTCCCCTGCTCATGCTCTGTCTCTCTCTCTCTCTCAAAAATAAATAAACGTTTGGGGGCGCCTGGGTGGCGCAGTCGGTTAAGCGTCCGACTTCAGCCAGGTCACGATCTCGCGGTCCGTGGGTTCGAGCCCCGCGTCGGGCTCTGGGCTGATGGCTCAGAGCCTGGAGCCTGTTTCCGATTCTGTGTCTCCCTCTCTCTCTGTCCCTCCCCCGTTCATGCTCTGTCTCTCTCTGTCCCAAAAATAAATAAAAACGTTGAAAAAAAAATTAAAAAAAAAATAAATAAACGTTTAAAAATTTCAAAAGTGATGATGACAAATAAGTGCATGGAGGGGGTATTTTCAGTATCATATATAATATTAAAAGTTTACAATATTGAAATCAGAATGAAACTCATATCAAAAATAGACACACACACACACACACACACACACAGAATAGAGTTCAGAAAGTGACTTAAGTATGAATTAGAAATTGCTTTGAGTAGAATAAATGGGCTTTGCTTCCAAAGCCAATATATGACATGCATTCCCTTTAAAGGGTCCTACCTGGGGTTTGCACTGACTTTGGCCTCAATGAATTGTTGATGTTTTTCATTATCTGCTAGCCAACACCTCCATCCAGACCTTACTGCCCTTTTATTCAACAATAGGAAGAAGCCACCCGCTTATACTTGGGTGAAGCATGTTCAATGTCTTTGTCTGGGTAGTGGTTACACAGGTAGTTACCCATGTAAAAATCCATCAGGCTGTACATTTAAGATTTGTCAAGTTTATTTTATGTAAATTGTACTTCAAAGAAAGATATTTTAAAAAGAAAAAAGTAGAATGACCTTTGAGCATTTATAACCAGGGGATCTGATTAAGCCTGGATAATTAAGAAGACTTTGCTGGGCAAGTAACATATGAGCTAGAATTTGAAGTGCAAGATGCTGTTAAACAGGCAGAGAGCAAGGCAGACCATTCTGGATAGAAGGGCCAGCATGTATGAAGGCCCTGTATTGTAAAGTGTCTTGTAGAGGCATTCATCTATATGGTCTTTTAGAACTTTTATAGAGTTGTCTTTGACATTTAGATTCTTAAACCATCTGATATTAATTTTTGCGTATAATGTGAGGTATGGGTATAATTTTATTTTCCGTCATATAGATAACCAATTATGCCAGCCCTGTTTGTTAACAAATAATCCTTTTCTACTGATCTGCTATGCTAACTCTATCATATACCATGTTTTAGTATTTGTGTCTCTTTCCAGGCTTTCATTATATTCAACTAGACTCTTTACATCTCCACCAATGTCACACCATCCTTAATTACTATAGCTGTATAAAGACTCTTCATATCTTGTAGGTACGTCTGTTCATCTCTAAGCATTTCTACAAGAGTGTCTTAGTTATTCTTGGCCTTTCCATAAACATTTTATTTTACTTTGTTTTATTTTTAAAGACATTTGGAAGGAAATTTATTATATTTACAAGCAAAACTGGTGGCCTATGTTTTCTTTGTTCTGAAACAAAAATATTCAAAGTTGGCATTAGCATGTAATGAGTAATAACAAACCAGAATTATACTGTGATAGGAGTCTCAAAGCACGTTGATCCTTTATACATCTCAGGTTATAGTTTAAAGCTGTGGACGTTTTTCACTAGTTCATTATGAAATTACTACTACTTCCTTTCTCTGCATCTCAATTGCCCTACAAATGTGAAAAAGAAAAAAGGCAATACAGACCCCAACAGTAGCTCACAGAAATCTTGAAGACTTCAGCCACCTATCCACGTTTACCTATGGCTATTCAGTTTTGCAAAAGAATCAAATAACCTCATTTACCATTACAAGAGAAACATTAGGTAATTTTATACCTTGGAAGATCTAAATTAACTGTGGTATGATTAATGTGTTAGTGGTTTGCACACTATACAGTTAAATGCTAAAACAGAATGGGCATATAATAATTCCACTTACAGAGAATTTCAAATGAAGAGGAAAGTTTCAGAAGCCATATTATTTAAAGCTGAAGAGAAAACCCCTTACATTTTAATTTCTGCAAATCTCTCAACAACAAAAAACTATTTCTGAAGAGTCTAACAGACCAACTAAAAGCAGAAACAGCTTCTTTTCACTCAATCAAGGGGACACGTCTTCAGAAAAAATGAAAATGTAGACAATTACAGCCAAGACTCTGATCAAGATCTATGCAGGGAAGTAATGGGGCATAATTTAGAATTATATACTTGGAGCACTTTGAAGATGTTCTCTTGGGAAGAGCTGGTGAATTGGCAGATGAAATGTATGCAGTGATGCACAGTGTGGAGCAGAAGAGCTGAGTAGACCCCCTCCTCTGAAGATTTTTTTTACAACCAGAACAGGAAACCTGAATAGCTGTGGTTGAAACTGAAGGAGGTATTTTGTTCCTACCAGATGATGTCAGAGAAAGCTGAATGAATGCCTGTAGCCAACTGTAGAGTGTCTGAAAACGTCGTGTTTATTTTCAGTTCATTCTCCTAAGTTTGGGGCTGCTGGGCTTCACAACACTCCCGAGCACTGTCAGCTTCTGTCTTCATTTCATCAAGCCGCCCCAGTTGTGGTGCCACTGCTTTGTCATATTCACCAACTATTGGCGACTCTTTTATCTTAGTATGTGATGCAAAGGAATCCTCCAGTTCCAAACTAATGAAGTTCTGCTTGGGGGATAGTATTCAGGTTCCAAAAATAAAATATGAATTGATTGAGAGTCTGATTTTAAAATTAGTCCTTTTAAATACGGTAATTTTCTGGAAGCACAAAGGGACCTTCAACAGCTTGGACTCAAGGTTCCTTCACATACCAACACTGGCTTTCTTCCCTTCATCCATTATTCCCCAACAGGGCTGTGCTTTATAATTCTCTGGTAGACATATCTCTGTGCTTTCTTCTGGGACCAGCCTTCTCCACTTCTATTTCCCCAGGCTTGACTATAGCATAAGCTACCAAACCCAAAAGTTTACTTGTAACTTATTAAACAGTCTTAGAAAATGTAAAGTCTTCTATCCAAGGTTAATCCAAATATCTGTAATCACTACCTCTCCCTGACCCTAAACATTTTAGAATTAGCTTTTAAGGGGTGCCTGGATGGCTCAGTCAGTTAAGTGTCCAACTCTTGATTCTGGCTCAGGTCATAATCTCAGTCATGAGACAGAGCTGACGTTGGACTCCACGCTCAATGTAGAGCCTGCTTAGGATTCTCTCCTTCTGCCCCTCTCCCACTTGCACATGCACTCACTCTCTCTCAAAAAAATAAAAATAAAAATAAATTAAAAAAAATAGAATTAACTTTAAAAAATTTTTTACTTATTTAAGTTTATTTATTTACTTTGAGAGAGAGTAAGCACAAGCAGGGGAGGAGCAGAGAGAAGGATAGACAGAATCCCAAGCAGGCTCCACACCATCAGTGCACAGCCTAATGTGGGGTTCGAACTCATGAACCGTGAGATCATGACTTGAGCTGAGATCAAGAGTTGGATGCTTAACCAACTGTGCGACTCAGGATCCCCGAAAAAGAATTAACTTTTAAGAACAGAAAAACATTTATTGGATTTTGATTGCAATTGCATTGAAAAAATACAAGTATTTGAGAGAGAACTGACAGCTTTATGATAATGTTTTCCAATCCACGAACATGATGTATCTCTTGTTTTATTTGGGCAACTTTAATTCATTAAAGGTTTATCATTTTTTTTTTTTCAGTGAAAGTGTTGTGTGTCTTCTGTTAGCTTTTCCTAGGTATTTATATTTTTGAAGTTTCCATAAATATTATTTTTACTGTTTCTTGTCGCTAAATAAAAATGTAATAATTTGTGTAATTACATTTTACCTAACAGACTTGCTAGATACTCTTTAATAATTTGTCTTTAGATTATTTTGGATTGTCTACAAAGAAAATCATGTTGTTTATGAATTATGACCATTTTATTTACTTCTTTACAATACTTATAAATTTATTTATTTCCTTGCCTTACTGTGTTGGCATGGGACTCCAGAACAATGATTAATGGAAGTAGTAATAGATAACCTGTGTCTTCTAATAAATCTTAAGGAGAATGCTTCATTTTTTTCAGAGGTAAATATGATATTTGTTGTAGGCTTAATTTTGTTCCAGCAGGAAGTTTCCTTTTATTTTTAATTTGCTAACAATGTTTTTTAAAAGACATGAAAGAGTGTTGAAATTTAACTAAGTAGTTGTATAACTTGAACTGGTTATATGGTCTTCTTTAATCTGTTAATGTTGGAAATTTTATCAATTGATTTTCAAATGTTGAACCAAAGTTGCATTACCAGAATAAATTAAACTTAGTCATAATGTAGTATGTCTTTTATATGCTGCTAAATTCAGTTTGCTAATATTTTATTTAAAAATTTTAAATCCATGTTCATTATTGAGCATTACCTATAATTTTCTTTCTTATTTTCTCTTTCTTGGATTTTAATTATCATGATTATACCATTCTCTTAAAATAAATTATAGAGTATTCTCTCTTTTATAAGTTTCTGGAAGAGCTGGTTTAAGATTGGAATTATCTCTTTCTTGACTGTCAGGTAGAATTCAACACAATCATTCAATAGGATCTTGTTGATTTTCTGGCTGGTAGTTCTATCAGTTTCTGAGATGGGCTGTTTAAGTCCCCAGCTGTAATTGTGGTTTGTCTATTTCTCCTTTCAGCTAGATCAGTTTTTGCTTCATGTAATTTGAAGCTCTGAAGTTGAGTGCATACACATTTAGGATAATTATATCTTCTGTTAAGAGTTGAATTGTGTCATCCAAAAAGATATGTTGAGGTCATAACTCCTGGTATCTGTGAATTTGACCTCACTTGGAAATAGATGCCAT